TGCTATTAGTAATTTTAATAAGTACTTAAAACCCTAACATCCATATTTTCAATGCTTAGGTAATATGAATAGCATCCTTTTTAAACTAGGATTATAAAATTAACTACAATGTCACAAGTTCCTTAAAAAATTCACAGCAAGTAGTATTCAAAATTGATTACAGAACTGCATGACATCTCAAACAAGATGATGATATTTCTACTTCACTCTCCCCAAGCCCTATGTCTGATAACTAGCACTGAAGAAAAAAAGATTTGCTGGCCCATCTTTCCAGAACTCTAAATAGCTTCCCTTTCCCATTAGTTAAAGAGGACTAATGCCATGTCACAAGCTCTTACAGAGATTCTTTGAGTCAAGGAGCTACTCAGTGAAATCCAGGTCCCATCTCATGAACAGACTCTAAAATTATAAGGCAGAGACAGTAAACTGGCATGAAGAAGTCAACTCTTTACTTTCAAATTCTGTGTCCAAAAGGCAAATCCAGAGTCACTAAGTTAACTAATACTCTGGCTCTTAATAATCTAAATGAAAAAATATCCTATCGTAAGGCTCCTCTAATAAAACTTTATGTTACATCTGAAAGCAGGAATACAAGACTGGCAGAGCAAAAATGTAATTATAAGTATATAAGAAGATTTCCACTTCTGGCCAAGATAGACTAACAGGAGCCAGATTTACCCCCCTGTCTAAAACAACTGGAAAATAAAAGACAAAATACATGAAGCATTTTCATCACTAATTATCAGGGAAATGCAAATTAAAACAATAAGTTATCACCTCACACCAGTCAGGATGGCCAGCATCCAAAAGACAAGGAAAAACAAATGCTGGTAAAAATACAAAGAATGGGGAACCTTCCTACACTGCTGGTGGAACTATAAATTAGTTCAACCACTGTGGAAAGCAATATGGAGGTGCCTCAAAAAACTAACAGCAGAAATACCATTTGACCCAGATTTCCATGCCTAGGAATTTACCTGAAGAAAACAAGATCCAAGATTCAAAAATACATATGCACCCCTATGTTTATTGCAGCACTATTTACAATAGCCAAGATGTGGAAGCAAACTAAGTGTCCATCGTTAGACAAATTGATAAAGAAGATATCTAACATATACATAATGGAATATTATTCAGCCATAAGAAGAAAACAAATCCTACCATTTGCAACAACATGGATGGAACTAGAGGATATTATGCTCAGTGAAATAAGCCAGGCGTAGAAAAACAAGTACCAAATGATTTCCCTCATTTGTGGAGTATAACAATGAAGCAAAACTGAAGGAACAAAACAACAGGAGACTCACAGACTCCAAGAAGAAACTAGCGGTTACCAAAGGGAAGGGGGTGGGGAGGGAGGGAGAAGGGGATTAAAAGCATTATGATTAACACACATAATGTAGGGGGGCACAGGGAAGGCAGTATAGCACAGAGAAGACAAGCAGTGACTCTATAGCATCTTACTATGCTGATGGACAGTGACTGTAATGGGTTATGTGGTGGTGACTTGATAATGGGGGAAATCTAGTAACCACAATGTGGTTCATGTGAAACCTTCATAAGATTGTATATCAATAATACCTTAATAAAAAAAATGAAGCATTTTTTAAATGGACATCAGGCAACAAAGGATAGTAGATCTGTAGTAAGACAGAAACACACAAGATGAGTCCTACAATTGCCCCAGCTTATTGCCTTGGAAGAATTTCTAGGCCACAGAACAGGGATAGGGAACTGAGGAAGAGAAGAGAAGTCTGAGTTAAGAAGATGCTAGAGACTCTAGTCTAGAGACAGCAAGGTGACTGTCATATACAAGGCAGAGTACCTACGAGGAGAGAACCACAAAGAAGATCCTGAGACCTGTAGAAGGTATCCAACAAGTCTTCAGCTGAATACTTACCAGTATATAGGGCAGAAAAGAACCACCAAGCAGGATGAGAGGGAAGACCACCCAGAGCTCACACAGGTCCAGGTACGGTTCCTGTTCCCATAAGCCAGCGTACTCAGAAAGGTTTTGCCACTATAGTGGGACAAGATGGTACTGCCTAACACAATTTAGAAGCAAGAACTTAAAAGATTAAATTCTTTCCAGGTAACTTAACTTTGTGCAGAATAAAGTTCAATATTTAATGGAATATAAAATATCTAGCACCTAACAAGGTAAAACTCAAAATGTCTGGCATCCAATCAAAACTTACCAGGTATGCAAAAGCAAGAAAAGTCAATCCATAATGAAGAGAAATCAAAGCCAACCCAGAAATGACACAGACAGAATTTGTAGACATGAACACTAATCCAGTTGTAACTGTATTATATATGTTCAAGAACTAGGGAAAAGACATAGCATGAAATCTATGGAACTGGAAGATACAAAAAAAGACTGAATTTCTAGAGATGAAACTAGAATGTCTGAAACGAAAAATATGGTGGATGGGATTAACAACAGATTAAATATTACTGAGAAAAATATTAATTAATTTAGACACATAACAAGATTATCCAAAATGACACAGAGCAGAAAAGACTGAAAAAGAAAAAACTTTGAACAGAACATCAATAAACATCAAGCAGCCTGATATACAGTTAACTGGACTTCCAAAAGGGAGAAAGGGGTCAACACACACACACAGACACACACACACATTTATATATTCTTATATAAATATATATTAAATATATGTTAATATATTACATATATGCTTTATGTATTTAAAGAAATGGTAAAAATTTTTCCAAATTTGATATAAACTACAAATTCATAGACCCAAGAAGCTCAACAATCCAAGCACAAGAAACATGAAGAAAACTCACAAAATACGTAACCAAATGTAGTCTAGAAATTACTTAGACTAAGGCTAACTTTTAGATTTAGTTACTGGGTGCAGTTTCAACTGACCATTCAAAAGAGTACATTAAATCAAACATTAATTTGAGTAAAGTATTAAACCAAAATCTTAATGACTTCCAAACTAGCAAAATACAGCTTTTAAAACAAAGTATAAGTTGCTGCATTACTAGGTAAATAATTCATTAAAATAAATTTGTGTTGATCATATTTTAGCAAAAAAATTTTTTAAAGTTAAAGCATACTTCTTACTTTTTTCCTAATTTTTTTCCTTTAATTTATATAGGTCAATGAGAACAGAATTAGGACACTGAAAAAACTTTTAAAGAAACTGGGAGGTGGAACTGAAAATAGAAGCAGATTTGAGGTTTGGAATGGAGCTAGTCCTCTCAAAAAACAACCTGACAACCACTATTTTGGAACGCCATTACTTTCAAAATACACATATACATTTTTTAAAAAAATATAGAGCTGTACTCAAAGTGGAAACAAGCTAAAGTGTCTAGCACCTACGTAACTATTCAGGACTCAAAAAAAACCTAAGTATTTTTTGGAAAAAGAATCATTCAAATAAAAAACATTAAAGTGAAAAATTGTTTTCCTATTTTTGTAAACACACCTGCTTTTTTAGGGTTCAGCAAATTAAAAATCTTTTGTCTAAAAATAAAAGACATAGAGGAACAAGATCTGAGTATCTACTGTAATGGCTACCCTTCCTGAAATGCATGACCTAAAACAGAAATCAATTAAATTATTCTACCATTTTGTTGAGGAAATAGTGGAATATTTCAAAGATAAAAAATAGTTACAGTAGGAGAGCTGCCAAAAAAATATTTACTATCCTGGTAAATAATTAATGTCCACATTCCTTTTTTCTAAGAAAAAATATACACACACATTTAGACAATTAATATATTTCTTTGGCTGCCTATACACTTTTGGAGAACATACAGTAGTATAAGACATCCTTGTAGGATTGACACATACATGAAAAATAACATAAATCTCGACCACACAGACTGAGAAGTTGCCACTGAAATAATTATTTATGGATTTGACTTCTACCCACTTTTAAATAAAGAAATTTAAAAAAGAATTTCCAATAAAATACAGAATTTATATTTTGTTAGGGCAGTAGCCTATTAGACTTACTCTCTAGTAACAATTAAGTATTCATAATGAATTAAATTCCCACATATATAAAAGATAAGAATCCCCTGAAATTGAAAGCTCTACACTACTCTTGCTATCAGTATTATTCAAAAGAAATAAAGCTAAATACATGTTATTTCTCGAACACAACTGTAATATTCAGCTTGATAACCCATAGTGATGTATTTAGAATGCATGTATGCTACACTACCTAAAATGATAAAATGGAGTTTTATTTCGCTGGTCCAGCTACCAGTATGATTTTGATATTCAATTACCATCTCAAGAACACATTCCTACTTAATAATGAACCCAGTATCATAAGCATAAAAGACCAAGATTTTCCTACTAAATCATTATCTAGTTGTCATCAAGATTTCAGTAACCTGCATTTCAAAATTAGCTCTAAGAGTACCTTAAAATAATCCCACAAATATTAATCTAATAAATCACATGACAAGTCATCTAATCAGACTTCGGTCATTTTACACATTAAAATTACTTGCTGCAGCTACAGTCCTCACCAATCAGAACTGTTTGAAATTCTCTCTTCTAAAATGTGTTATTACTTCACCAGTTTCAAAATTTGAGCCATTTATTTTTAGACACAGAGGTTAATGAGAAACATTTCTGCATCAAATATATATAACTTCACAGTAAAGGTTTTTTTCCCGTTAGGAAACTATTCTCATTCTCTCATTTTACCAATAATCAAAGTGGTTAGAGTGCGGTTTGGATTTCAGCACTGAAAACAATAAATGACAATACTTGGTTTGCGGAATGAAAAACTTAAGCTTCACAATTTTAACAAGTATAATTACTGGGTTGTGATAAATGGGCTGGGCATGTAAGAAGACTATTGCTCCTTTCAAGGTCCAATTCTTGAGCCACTTGAATTTTTCTGGCCAAAGAACCAAATCAGGAGCTTAAAACATAAATTCTAAGTTTACAGTATGCAATTTTTCAATAAAACAAGTTATCTAGAAAAGAAAAAGACACTTACATTTGGAACATGACATGGTTCAAGAATACCCCATCCACCAAAGCCACATATTCATCCAGGTTGGTCCCATTTTCTGCAGCCAGAGGTCCAAACGTTTTAACCTGGAACAGAACGATCATCACGATACGAACGCCCACCTCCATCTCTGCAGCCACAAATAATGCAGGAAAATAATACGATAAATAACACCCCACTTACCCAAGTGACCAAGGGGCTGGTCATGAACTGCTCCACAAGGGGCGTAAAAATCTCGTTCTCCATTTTACAGATAATATATTTTAAAGAGGAACTATCACAAAAAAATACGCCTAGGGAATTGGTCACTAAACGCTTAAGAGGAAATCAATGAAAGTCCATTTTGGCACGGGAAGAAAATCCCATCGTGAAGAGGAAAAAGGCTCTCCCTCCTCAAAAACACCCCAGAGGAAAATGAGCCGAAATCCCGAGAAGTGGCTTCGACAGCAGCCACGAGCGTCAGCTAGCGCTGAAAATGTCTGTATCGGGCGAGGAGGGGCAGAAAAAAAGGTATCTGGAGGAGGAGGAAGGGAAAGGGGGCTGGAGCAGGAAAACAAAAAGCCCGTCAAGGTAGCCCAGCTCTTGAAGGAGCCAAACCTGCGAAACTGCCCCCAGTGAATTAATCTCAACGGGGGCTAAATGAAATACGTTAGATATCACGCTAAGGATTCGAAGCGGCCCCCATGCTCAAAACGTTCCACCCACCAGTGGGCATGGAAACGCTTCGACCCGCGGAGCCTTCCCTTCCCGCAGCCCCTCACCAAAGACAGGCAAACCTCGTCCCCTCCCCGAGGGGTGGGGGCTTGAACGTGTGTTCCTAACCCCCAATTCCTGAGCCCCGCCAGCCTTTTCAGTGCGCCTCTCTAAAGCCCTGGCACAAAATCACCGTCGCGCTCCAGCCTCCTCCTCCGCCCTCTCTGGAGTGGCCGGAGTAACATTCTCAGAACCGCAGTGCCGCATGACACCCCGCTCCTTGCCGCCCAACCAGTGCCGCGAGTGCGCGGTCAATGAGAGCGCGCTGCTCCCTCCGCGCCCATATCCCTCCGCCGACTCTCCGCCCCTCCCGCGCCGAAGCCTCTGGATTGTGACGGAAGAAAACCGCTGTATGAGCGCGCTCCCGAGCGAGCGGGTCTCGGGGCCGGCTCCGCCGCCGCCCAGATTTTGGCGGAGGGCGCGGGCGCGCGCTCGCTGCAGCTGCTGCGGTGGCCGGCCCCTAGCTAGCGCCCAGGACGGTTGCCAGGGCTTAGGGGGCGGAGATGGGGAAGGCAGAGGAAGGGGTCTGTCTGCTTACTCGCTCATACCTAATTATGGTTTATGTCCTCCCCGAGTGCCCTCTTTGATGTGTGAAGGAAAAGGAAAGAAACTCTTCTCTTTTACACATGAGAGATGCAGACAGCCTTTTTCGGACAGTTTGATTTGATCTTCTAAGCATGCTTTCCCCAGCAAAACGGGAATTGGAAAACTCACTGCAGCACATAGCAAAGGAGGGAGGGACTTGAGCTCCAAACTCGTTTTTTTTTTCTCTTTTTCCTACTCTGTGTTAAAATCTAGTCCACTAAAGCATGAATGCTCCTCAAGTTGCAAGTGAATGTAGAAGGGTTTTAAATAACCAAAGCTGTCTTTCAATGTGTTGGTATTCCCTGACTGGAGCAAACGTGATTCGATATTGTTTAACTATTTGGCCCTTGAAAAAAAAAAACAAACAAAATCAAGAGCTACTAAGAGGAAACATTTGGAAGTCATCCAAGTTGGATAACACAGATTATATATTCGTCATAAATTTCAATGCTATGCACGACTGGAACCATCAAAGTAATTTTAACAGTTCCCTAGCAAAATCAAATGTTGTTACTCCTCATTTTTAAGGAAAATAACGACCTTTTCGCTGGGACAAAATGGGCACGTAAAACAATTTTTTTCTTAGAAAATATAGTTTTACAATGTATGCTGTTTACATTTACATAAATATCTGTCTACTTTGAGTACTTACATGATATTTTAAATCAGCAGTAAAAATGTTTTTTTCATAACACAGTTAAGAAACCACACAATTTCTTAATTAGGTAGTTAACAGCCTGGGCTCTAGAGTCTTCCTGCCTGGTTCAAATTCAGGCCCTGATAGTTACCACTGTGTAAACCTCGGCAAGTTATTAAACGTCTCTGCTTCACTTTCTTCATGTGTAAAGCAGGGATAGTTAACAATAGCGTTAAAGGGCAACTATAGTAAGTGCTCTATAAATGCTATCGATGTTGTTTTTGTCATTACTCCCGCAAAATGAAGAACATTTAGGAAAGAACTTGAAGGGTAACCTCTCCTATTTTAGTTACAGGAGAAGAGCTCTTGCCTTGGAGAGCTGAGAAATGATCTTCCAAAATCATCTTAATTAAAATTAGGATGCATTCATGTGTTAAAAATTTTACTATGCGGTGTATAGAGTGGAGCCTTGCACTGCCCTGGCCAGTACACAGCCGTCTGGTCATCCTGGTTACAAGCAGTCTTTTCCTTCTGCTCTTGATGACTCTTTCTTAATCACAATCCTTTATTTGGAAATGGAGACTGGGAGAGAACAGGCACCAAGAACAAAGCATTGCTTTCAGCACAGTGCCTAGTAATCTCTTTCTTTGTAATCCCTTGGAAGCTTGACTAAACAACATGGAAGTGCTCATACCTATACTGAGGCTTATCTTAAGACAGACCAACCTGCTTCATTCATAGAAGAAAAACCCATAAAGTACTTAGACCAAGTACAACAAGTTAAGGGCATTTTGGATGGTGGTGACTGAAGGGTTAGCACAGGAGTTGTACATTAAGAGCATTGTTTATCCAGGTTACATTTAGTAGCTAGCCCTCACAGAAATCTGGATTTCCCTCTACAGCCAAATGGCCCACATGCTTCCTGGTCTATCTTTAGGTTTTACACACACACACACACACACACACACACACACACACACACACTCAACTAAGAAACATGAGGAGTTAATTGTAAAAACAGGAAGCTTTAGACCAGACTGAGGTCTGGAGTAACTTATTTGAAAACCTACCAATACACAATTCTCTAGTTTAACAGCAGATTGACAAATTCTTTATAATATCTCAAGAGTACAATCAGGAAACTTCTCTGACGAAAGAAAGATTGTGTATTATACACAATTTAATGGTCTTTTGAATTGCAGTGTCCTATAAGATTAAATCCAAAAGTTTCTTCTTATCTTCCTTTCACTTAGGAAGATATTTCTCAAGATTTCTTCAAGATATTTTTGTACTTTGTAGTCACTTATTTGCCCTGAATTCATCACAAATCATACCCATCTCATTAGGGTCTAAGTTATTTGCTTCACTCTCTTCTAAATAGAGGTTAAATGTTTGGAATGGACTATAATCCCATTTAGAAATTACTAGAGAAAGATTCTCCCTGTATATTATAATGCAGGATCCTCCAGCAGATTTCACATGCTTAACACTACCCAAATACCCAAAGCATTCATGTTTTCTCCATCTTCATCTATAGTATGAAAAGTGATAGACTCAACCTGAACCAGTCTCCTTGGTGACAATATTTGCAAAACTAATCACATTCATAAGCTAATATAATAAAAATAACACAAATACAGCAGCAGAATGGCACCATTGTTAATAGCCAAAAAAATGAAAACATTCAAATGTCCACCAACTGAAAAATGAATACAAAAAAGGTGGCATGTCCTTACAATGGAATATTATTTGGCAATAAAAAAGAATGAAGTACTAATATAAACTACAACATGGATGAACTTTGAAAACATTACGCTAAGTTAAAGAAACCAAGGATCACATATTGTATGATCCCATTTATCACCCTTGTATGATTCCTTTGTATCAAAAAGAACTATGTATTGTATGATTCCATTAATATGACATGTCCAGAAGAGACAAATCTATAGAGAAAGAAAGTAGATCAGTGAGTTGCTGCCTAAGTATGAGGAGGTTGGGAGGAAACAGGGTTCATGGCTTTGTGTTAGGGTTTCTTTTTGAGAAAATGAAAATATTCTAAAATTGATTGTGGTAATGGATACACAATTCTGTGAATATACTAAAAATTATTGGACATATTAAATGGTTGAATTGTCAGTTATTTCACCAAAAAAATCTGCTTAAAAAAAGAATGTCACCATTGCCTCATGAATATTTAAAGAAATGTCATTAAGACATACTATCTCTCACAGACTTTTCAAAAGGGTCTCTAAATCTCTTGATCTAATTAATAAGATATTAAACTCACCTAAGAACACAGAATTCATATACCTTAATTATCCAACATAGTTTTAAGAGAAATAGAATAAGAGAAAGAAATTAGTTATGTTTAACTAACATTAACTTCTTTGACTGTCAATTTTCTCAGCTGTAAAATGGGCATATGGTTTTATTTCTTCCTGGACATCTGTTCAGACAGTGGACTTGTTGCTCTATCCTATCTCTCAACTAAGCAAAGGGAAGAAAAATTGGAACGAGATGACGGGGCAGAGAGAGGGGTCCTCCATTCAATGCAGTCTTAAACTGTTCTTCTCAAATGCCCTAATGCTGTGTTCCAAACAAAGTGAACCATCCCAAATTCACCCTTAAATTCCATGCTACCATCCCCAACTTCTTCTGCTTTCTAACCAGGTCAACTCCCACTCTCCTTCAGGATTGAAGTGTCACTCTGAGGCATACCGCTCCCTCAGGTTGAGTTTATCACTTCCTCTTTTGTGCTTGCATAATATTCAATCTCTTTTTATTTTTGTAACTTGCTCTGAATGGCAGATATTTGCTGACATGCTCTTCTGAGTAGATGCGGATCTTGGAAAGTTTTGTTTTATTTATACCTTGGTTTATTCTTTCTTATATCCCTGGCATTTAGTACAGCACCTTGCCATTATGGGCACTCTCAGCATCTTCCTTCAATCATGGTGACCAGTTTGAATTTCAAACAGTTGGCAAGAGCTCACAGCAGAGCAACTTCCCGGAGCTGTTCTAACAAAGTAATGGCCTAGAGGAGACATTAGCTGGTGATCACTATTTGCCAGTGATTTTGTAGAACTGAAAGACATTGTGATCATAAAATAAATGGCTTTTGAGACAGATTTTTCCCCAAATCTATATAACTTTTTTCTCAGAGAAAAGCTTAGAGGAATACATAAATATCACATAATCTTTTATTTCTCAGACAGAAAGAATATAATGATATTAATCCTTTCCAATACCCAAACTGTTTTCATTTGCTATCATTTTGATGGAAATCTTCTAGAAAGGTGTTATAATTGTCTAAACTTTATTAGACAGCATATTCTGAACAGAAATATGACCTTTTAAAGAAATACCTCATCACAATTACCTAAATGATTGTGTTATGCTTCTAATATAACGATGTATTCAGAAGCTCTAAAGAAATGCAGAGGTGTTTGAACTATACTCACAGGCCCCAGACAACTGTATTTTGAGTTTTTTATTTTACTTTGAATAGCTTCCCTATCTTCTGCCTTGGCTCTTGGTTTTTGTTGCTCACAATATCTCTATTGATAGTCCCTGTACTAATTTACTACTTCTATTTTTCTATGTGCAGGGAATTCACAGATCATTAAAACAGCCTGAAAGAACTAATAATTTTGGAGTGAGAACACACTGGGCTTTGTAATTAAAAAAAAAAAAACACCATGAATTTGTAATATACCTAAAAGTGTCTCTTGGTGTAATGTTTTTGCTTAATTTCAGTTTCTTGGTCTTACTTAGATAAGATGGTACTACCCTATTTCTTTAACTAGTTTGCTGTGATGTGACATGAAATAATCTGGTAAATTAATGGTCATTTACCAGGTATTTCCAGGGTGTGACTGTGTTATCATGTGATCAGTTCCTTGTGTTTTCATAGTTCCTCCTTTAATATCTTAAATCTATGCAATAGCTGATGACTCATTCCTACTTACAAAGCTGCTGATGGAAAGATACTAAACAAAAAAAACCTGACAGAGAAGAACATAAAAAACATA